CGTCAATCAAAATATTGTTGAATGCGTCACTTTTAATCAGCTTTCGTATATCTGGACCATTTAGTACGCCTGATTGGAAAAAATTAATTTGTTAAGATGGAAAACCATGGGAAATAAGGAAAATATTTAAAAGGTCATAAAAAAAACTGGCACATACGAACGCCAAACCCTTTGAGAAACCCATCACCGTGACTTGGAATTTCTCACCCCCCAGATTAGCTGTTGTACTGTGTAATTAAAGGATTCTAACGTATTTCAAATGACAGTTTTATGTCTCAATGTGATGTGAAAAGATAAGCGAAAAGACAGCCACCCGGTTCATTTATATATATTCCATTATTATAACATATACGTTTTAATTGGACTGAAAATTTATTTTTGTATATCATACAACTAAAACATATTTATTTATTCACTTTGGGTTATCTCACTCTAGGATCGCAACTAACAATAACCATACACAAGGGACTAGGACAAATGAGGTAAAACCCCTTGTGATCATTTGGTATTAATTATGGTATATATGTTTTTTTTAATAATATTTACAGAAGACTATATTATAGCCAACGAGGACATTATGATTGAAACCGATGGAGAAATTTTCGCTTTTCGCAGGTGCCAAAATGCATTTTGGTTTACAAAATGGATTTGCTTTTAGATAATGGAATGCGTGTACATATGCAAATAAATATATTTTAGAATCCTTAAGTCTTTTGACAAGAAGAAGCAGTTAATTACAAACAAACGTCTAGCACGATCTGAAAGGGAAGACAATGCTGCTCCAATATGGGTAAACCCGATATTAATCGCGACTTTTAATGAGAAAGAAGAACAAGTAAGGAAGTGCTAAGTTATTTTATTCTCCTGCACGTATCACAGTCGGCTTATATTCTGTAGCACCGACTTCGAGAAAGCCTTTGATCGCGTTGGCGTTCACGCAGTACTGAGCCAACTTGCAGACWGGAAGGTTGGTCCAAAAGCTTTTATGATTCACCGACAGTTCCGAGTTCGTGTTAATCATACTTTTTCCGAGGTAAACCCTCTTAACAATGGTATACCCCAAGGCTCCCCCCTATCCGTAGTACTATTCATTATTGCGTTTGATAAACTCACCGATATCTGCCTAAATATAAAAAATATGAATATATATAACTATGTATGCCGATGATGCTTTCATTTACACTAATTTGAAAGATCCGCAGGCAACTAATSATGTTTTCAATGAAGTACTTACGAAATTCAAAAAATGGGGTTCACTTTCCGGAGCATCTATCTCAACTTCTAAATGTAAATAATTACATATTTGTAAAAAAAAAAATGCTCATACCCAGATCTAATTTATGACAATACTTTAATAACTTGTGTAAATGACTTAAAAATATTAGGTATATATTTTGACAATAAGTTTACATTTAAGTA